ACTATTTTCATACGTCATATTACTTTTTTACTTGCTCTCGACGAAATAAAAGCACATTGATGATGCTCAAGTATTCAGGAATCAAAGTGCAGGGAAAAGAAAAAGAGTGAAACGAAAAGAGGTGGAGGATATTTACAAAATACTGTTAACACAATCGGAAGACCAACAAAATGATTGAAAGAAGATGAAAGAGATTTTTATGTTGCCAAAAATAAGTAAAATCTCCACGAGATGTATGGTGAGAGGTGTAATATGAGTACTGTTTCTTAATCACCACACTTTCTACCCCTCTATTTTATTACACACACATTTCAGTTATGAAAAAGAAGTTCCAATCGCAGTGGTTGGCAACACTAGAACAAGGCATTTTTCACTTCCCACTACGAGAAAACTTCTTTCCATCAGAAAATAACTACGGATTTGACTTCATAAATAGAATTGCCGACGACGTACAAAACCTCCCTCCCTGCCGCAACTACCCAAAAGAGAGCTGAACAATCGCGCGAAAAAAGTAGCGTCCCCGGCCGCTAGGAGCGCCGCGAACCTCCGCGTCGATAGCCCCTCGTCAGCCCTCCACAACCCCACCCTTCGCGAACTTGAACTTGACGCGAGCAGCGCCTGGCGCTAAGCTGCCACCCCAGCCGCCCACTCAGCCATTCCGCGCCGCGTCCCGGGCCGTCAGCGTCGCCGCGACGCCTCCCAGCGCAAACTCGCGCCCGCTCCCGCGCCCAAGCCCACCGAAGCAGCACGAACAACCAACCCCGCATAGGGGTGCGCAAAAGCGCTCCACCCATGATTATTGTGGTGATGATTGTGATGGAGATGGAAAGATCACATGCAGTCAGTCTCCGTTGCGTATGAAGACGCTCTGGTCTGCTATGGAGGCACCTTCCTGGCGGTTCGAGCCGCAAGTAGCATCGATATATTGGTGAGAAATATTGTTTTGCATACAGAAGATAAATAGCTCGATTCGGCTGGTAACGCCTTAGTAATGGAGATGATATTAGGGAAGGGAAGATCGCGCGCGGACCGCCCGACCTGTTGCGTAGGGCGCTGCTCTGGCCTGCATGTGATCGGGGGATCGACTGGTCAGATCAGTCGGGAAGCCCAATTCGATTCCGGCACGCCCCACGAAGTCACCCGTCACTTCAAATTAATTCCTTGCGCTTCGTGGGGACGTTTCGATGATTGGAAAGTCGCAGGTTTAGATCCCGGCGAAAAGCACGCAATTTACTTAATGTGACCAGTTACTTCATGGCACCTTCCAGAACCAACTGGCGTCCGCCAAATTGGTTTCCCGACTGTTCTGACCTCTCTACGCAACAATGTGACGGACCTTGCGAAATCTTTCCTTCCACATTTTGATCATCTACACCACAACCACGTTATCACCTTCTGTATGGAAAACAATATCTTACGCCATATTATCGATATTCAAGGTTCGAAACGCTAACCGCCAGGATTAGCCTCCCCATCAGCACTGATTTCGCTTTCAAGGCACGGTGTGTGATGTGGCACTTCCCAGAAATGTTTGCACATGATTTCACTGATATGGAAAGAGGCCCGATTCGCGTATACATCTCGCGTTGGTTTTGAGGAATTTCTCTAAGAAGGGACCACTTTGATAGGTATGAAAACAATCGATCTTCGTGTAGGGCAGTGGCATTGCAAGACACAGTGATGAATCCATTTACAAATGAGCTCACTGACAAATAACACATCGGTGAAATGAGTGCAAGGACCCGATATTGCCTGGAGTGGCCAAGCACTAGCTGCCAACGCGGGTCCTGTTAGTAATCTCTCTGTTGGTTGGCGTGTCGGTGTGCGTGGCGGTTGCGCTCCTTGGCCGCCGGCGGATCGGCCTTCGCCTTGGGCCGAAGTCGACGCGCGGCGCCGAGAAGGGCGCAGGGCGCAGGCGGCGCCTCCGAGAATAGCCCGGGGCTTCCGGCAACAGCGTCCGCGCGCCCTCGTTAGGGTAACGAGGAGGCGCCCGCCCCGCCCCGGCGACGCCTTCGGCCCAGGCGGCGACGGATCGCCGGGGAGGGCGGCGGGGGCGACGCCACTCTACGAAGTATTTCACCATGCGTGCGTGTGCACGTGTGTGTGCGTGCGCGTGTGAGTGCACCAGTGTATGTGAGTGCGTGTATGTGTGTGCGTGTTCGCGCGTGTGAATGTGTGTGTGTGTGTGTGTGTGTGTTAGTGTTAGCACGTGCGGGGGCGCGAGTGTAGTATGTGTGTGTTCAGTTAGAAGAGAAGCCTTATGTATTTCAGAGAACGGAAAACAGAAAAGGTGATCTGAGACAAGGCGACGGAAGATATGAACGACGTAAGCTGTGAAGGAGGATACTGTAAGAGAGGAGGTAAGGGCAAGTAAGGAAACAGGGTGAGGGGTATCAAGTGAGAGATATTTGGGAGATGAGATGAGTTGAAAGAAATGGAGAGAGAAGGGCTGGGAAGAGAGACGAGATGTGGTGAAGGAACTGTAACTCTGTCCGTCGCTTAGAAGAGAGGCTGGTGATGGTGACGGCTGGAGGGGGGGAAGCTTCTGTTGAAACCGAAGTCAAGGCATTTCTCACAAATAACACGTTATCGTATGAGGACTGATGTAGAAGAATTAAATGTTCTAAGCTTCAAATATTTAAAATGAAATGGTATTCTCAAAGTTTCAAGAACTTTCAGCAGTGTGAAAACATGCCAAATAATTCAACATTATTTTTTATTAGAAATTCACAGATTACACCGGTAATAATTTCTATTGATGAAAAACTATTTTTCATACATGAAGCCAAATCCTCATCCTATCTTAATAACGTCGTAACATTACGGGAATTTCCAACTAATGTTCAGGATAATTAATTTTCAGAAAACCTAGGAAGTATCCATTACGAGTACATGCGCAATAAATACAGGACTTGTAATTAGATGAAAACGTCACTGTAAGATTTTTAGAATGTGCCAATGACGACCTTCGATTTAATGAATTTGCTGGAGTCCGTTTGTTCGCTCGATTTCCCCCCTCCCCATATTTGATATTAGACTTGCTCTTATCACATCAGAATAAAGCCACAACACTGCGGATACTTTTAACTAATAATTAATTTTCAGAAAAAAGACATCTACTACAGTATACAATACAGTACTTGACATTAGCTAGAACCGTTATTGAAGTTTTCTTCCACCATGTTAGTGGCAACGTATTTTTAATGAATTCGCTTAAATTCGTTAACTCGATTTTTTAATACTTAGAAAAAGACTTGCCTTCACTCCCCATTAATAATACCGTAATATTGCATTTCAACTACTACTCAGGTTAATTTCTAGAACAAGTATTCATTACCAGACACGCGTAATACAGGGCCTGTAGTTAGATGAAACTGTTGCGCAACATTTTGTAACGTGTCAAGGGCGAGCTTCGTGGTAAGCAGAGCTCCGGGATAGGATACACCGAAATGTCGCCGCCCCAAAACAACGGAAGGTTTCTTGACGGTCATCTTTTGTTCGAAGTCACTCCGAAGGCGTCCGTCTCGCATTTCGCCATTGAACGACAACAATGGCGGCCCAACAATGAGACACCCACGCATGGCGCTATAGACTCACAGAGGACATAAGGTCACTTCACGTGGATCTCGTGCCCTTCGGCCTCGTAGAGGACGCGCCAACCTTCCAAGAAGGACATGTTTTAGAGTCGGAAACTACGTCACAAATACATAAATAAATAAATAAATAAATAATAAAAGCAATAAGAAAAATATTCTAGCTTATTGGAAAACAAAATTATCAGAAACTTTACACACGCAATTAAATTTAACAAAAAATTATCAAGGCAACAAATCCATAATCTAAAAGTGAATCCCTAAATCTACATCGCTCAAATCGTGTTTTCCTTCTACTTGGCTTTGAATTGCACCAAATACAAAAGATCAATTGGTTCACGAAGTAATGCACCTATTGAGAAACCCGCTGATGGGTTTTCATCGTTTCAGGAACTCGTTATTTCCTATGTAACACGTTTACGACCGGATTAAGAACGGTGTACACAGGGGAAACGCAGCCCGTACAACACACCTGAGTAAACAAGATTTGTTGCATTTTGCAGGGGCAACGCTATACCAAACGTTGCGTCGAAGAGTACGAGCTAGAAACATTGCATTTCGGGAACAAATGAAGGGCCAGGCCTAACAAGGAAGTAATAACAAATGGAACTGAAAACCACATTGGATATTTTTGAGTTCACAGGATTCCTCTTGAGTGACAATCAGCGCAAAACACAAACTGTCACTTTCATAGACGATCTTGGATGCGATGTTATGTTTTCTATGAGTATTCTAGTACATTTTCTGCATAAACGTAATCAACACATTATGACTATACTAGAGTCAGAGGGGAGTCTAGAGTGAAACTTTCCAGATTCTAAAAAAAATTATCACCCAGTTTACACGTTGTATTGAATTTTGGATATATTTTTCATTGTTCAGCTTTACATCTCAGCACTTGATGTGTTTTCACTTAAAATCCTTAGATACAACACATGTTTCTATTTCAAGTGTACGGCTTTGCACTGAACTCTTGTTTTCAAAGAAAGTATACTAATGACTCTTGGCCACTAGATGCCTCCATTATTATACGTTTGTGTATTATAGATGTTTCTTTTTCATACTTTAACATTTCAAAAACGTTTTATTAAAAAACCTAGGTATACGAGGATTAACAATGTTAACGATCATTAACTGAATATGCGTTGTATGACCTTTATGCAGACCATGTAGGTTAAATAAAAATACAAAAAAAAAATAGAGCAGCCAAATCACAGTAGATTTACGACGTAATGCGTGATATGCACAATCATTCTTTAAAAATAAGATTTTCAGAAATAAAATTACCAGAAATGAAAGGTAATTCAAAACCAAATAATCCGACTCAAAACTACTGGTCGACTTGGCTGCTCCTTCATATAAAATATACGGGTACTCACTTTGTTTTTGAGGAAAGATTTGGATCACTCGTTTTCCGCCTTTCTCGCAGAGGTCGCTGTAAACATACCATATGCAATTAGAAACATTTTCCACACTATGAAATATTAAGACGGGTATAAAAGTAAATGAGACAGGTTACATAAAGGTAGCAATCATTGATACAGTTTTTTGTCCTCGACAGCAACAAGATTTTCTTCTATCGACGGACGTCGTTTTCGTAATGCATTCGCAGCTGCTTTGAACTCTAAGAAACTGTTGTTGAGTGCGCTTTCGCAGGCAGGCGAGGCGAGGCGACGACGGCCCAAGAGGGAGGCAGAATGAAGGCAATATC